CACTAGGTGCGTACCGTCATTCGGCTGACAATAATGAACAGAAGAAAAACAGGCCAACATGAATAAACTGGACTAAATAGACTGGACTTGGTTGTTAGCTGCTTACTTGCTAGTTTGGTTACTTGTTTGTTATTCTGTGCCACTCACATGTAGTAACCGTAATGCAGACGCCGGCCATCCTTTTCCGAACCTTGCCCAGTTGTTCCTTCTTCTCCTTGAATCTTCTTATTTTGGTTCTCCATTCTTACAATGTGTGATAAGTATATATAGTTTTATGCCAATGTTTATTAGCAGTGCTGTCGCCACTGCTTTGATCAGCGAACACGAGTAGCAGGAGCAGTGGCAAAAGCAATAACGGCATCAATAATAACAGAAACCACAACAGCAGCAGCAATAATAACAAAGAATAACAACGATTCAGGCTATATTCTTTCCCAAATTTTAAAAAATATACACAAAATGATCTGTGGAGGAGGAGAAGGCGGCGCTGTAGTTGAACAACTTTGTCTTAGAATTGATCTTAACAGTTTCACAAGGAAGACACAAGAAAAAATAGGAGGGAAGAATAATGACCAATTCAAAAAAAGAAACTTTTATTATTTTCTTTTCAAACGTTTTTATCTAATTTCTTTTTTCAGAAATAGAAATTTTTTTTTTTTTTGTTAATTTCAGACTCAGAAATAGCGGCAGTCTGATAAGTGACTGTCTCGCTTGAGTTTTCATGTTATGCTTGACTTTTTTCTTCTTTCTCTTTTTTTATTTTTTTTTCCTTCATCTGCTTCGTTCTGCTTCAGTCTTTCCCGCTGTTGTTTTTTTTCTTAAAGTTTATATATGTATATAAACGTACGTCTAAGCATAAAAATGGATATGAATATAAATATAAATATAAATATAAATATAAATATAAATATGTGTGTCGTTTTGTTTTGATGTTTAAAATTATTTGATTTTTTAAAGCAAAAATGTGGACGAGTTTTTCTGAAGATGTAATAATCATACCTCAGTTAGACGTCTACAAAGCTTATTAGTTGCGGTTTTTGTCGTTTGTGTGTTGAACTTTCTTCTTTTTGGAATATAAAATTTCCCTTCACTGCTTTTTCTTTTTTTATTATCATAATCACTGTCGTCATAATCGCATTCAGTTTTGAAATAAATTTTAATTTGAACGTATGTTTTAATCCACAATTCTACAGCTATAGGATTTTTCTCTTTGGATCTATTTACTTCCTCTTTTCCTTTAAAGTTCTATTTTTTTTTCTTTTGCTTTGCTCAAGGAAAAAAAACAATTCACATATTGTCTTCATTCCATTCTTTTTTACTGTTCATTTGCCATCTTTTTTCTCTCAATTTTGTTTTCGACCACAGTTTTATTAGTTGTGACGTTTTCCTAAAAAAAAAAAAAAAAAATTAACCGTTTGACTTTTACAGTGTAACGTACGTAATCAAAAAAAAAACGGGAGAAAAAAATTTGTGGTTTGTCGACACGATTTTTGATTGGTTTTTTTTTTTTTTTTTGGAGGTCTTATCCGCGGTGCGAGAACCTTACAAAACTAAAAACACTTTTTGAGAAGTCGAAACTGTTATAAAAGGTTTTTTCTACTTCTTTTTTTTTTTTAGCATTTTTTTCTTTAAGAAGCTTTCTTTAAGTGCAAATTTCTTGTAATGAACTACTTTCAAAGCAGATCTGCACCAATAGACTCTCATGATAGTGTCGTTTTTTAAAAATCTTACATTACTCTTCAAATCGTGGGTCATCTGGATGGAGTTGTTCCAATAGTGAGGAGAAGAGGTAGACGACATTTACGGATATTTTGAGCTGAGAATTAGTAGGTTACAGTAGCAATGACTACAGAAGAGCGGATTCAACGATGTCAGAGCGGTGATGCCTGGTGTGAACTGGCAGAAGGACGAATAGAAAAAAACAATTTTTGCAACTCTTTTCCCCTGAGAAATTTGTTTGAGCAAACATCAGAATCAACAGTTCAAATTAGAGAGGCATGACTGGTGAATTAAGCGCAACATCTGTATTTCAAAACTAATGAACATTCCCCGTACCCGTCGTGTTTCAGGCATCGCTGTCAGCTGCAAAAAATGTGATATCACAGAAATGGTCCAGTGATTCTGTTTCGAGCAGAGCTTGTTCAAAATCAGCGCAGTTTGCAACAGCTTAATTTCATCCGCACTTTCATTTGGCATCGTTCATCATCAGCATTCGTATTACTTCTTACTTTTCATTAATATTATAACACCTGACCAGAAGCTTGTTATTCTGTGTTCACTTCTCTGCTTAA